CTTGCTGCTTTTAACTCAGAAAATGCTTAATACAGTTAAAATGATTACTTGACACAAGCAAAGGCTTAGCTATCAATCTGCCTTGTGGTCAGCTGCATTGCTAGGCCGCAGGTCATGCCTTGTATTCAGCTGTAAAGCTAATACTTCCTAATAATCTAAATTATTGTAAACCTAACAGTATGCTTATCAGAAAACTATTCTATTTCAGGGTAATAACAAACCTGCGCACTACAGCCCTGGGCCCCATGCACTACCCTGACTGGACAATGCCCCTAGGCCCAGCCCCTGCCTCACTCCCTACTTTACCATGGAGGCCTCAATTTCCTCCCCCACATAGACTTACCTGCTGGCAGCTGGGGGAGCTGTTCTCCACCACCGCCTGTATTCCTAGCCATATGCATGCGTGCATACACACACATGCACATGACGCCCCCTGCGTCCTGTTCCCTGTATCCCTTTGCAGGCTGGAACTCTGCCAGCCTGCAATGGGAAACCTATAATTTCCTGCATTTTTCTGTACTAAACAGAAAACCCAGATCCCTGCACAATACTGGAAATCCAGGACAAATGCTGTTCCGGAGTCATGCCGCCTGGCACAGTGACTTAATGTTCCCATTTTGGGACCTTCCCATCCAATTAGGGACAGGTGGTTACACTACCCTCTTACTGAGGGGGGCCGGGGCCCTTGGGCCCCCATGTACTTGGTTCCAATGGTGGGTGGGACCAGGGAGACCCCAGGATCTTGAGGGGGTGACAGCATGGGGCCAGGGCTGGGGCAGAGCCACGATCCACTGCCTGCATGCCCCTGCAATGGCCCTGGCTTCTTGCTGTCACTGCCTCATGATCCCGGCCCAGGACGCAGCTGGGGTGAGGAGGCAGAAAAAGGTTAAAGTAGTGGTGGTTTTCAACCAGAACACCTGGGTTCTCTCTGAGCTTCCTGGAAGTGGGGGCTGGTGAGTTAAAACCAGGGGAGGGAAGGGCTGGGAGCCCATATTCCTGGGTTCTCTCAGCTCCAGTACTGCTGGTTAGAGCAGGGGTGCCTGGAAACCAGGACAGCTGGGTTCTTCTCTGCTGATCACCACCCAGCCCCCTCCTGGACACACCTGACCTCTCCCAGGTGTTCTAGGAAGTCCTTAGCCAGGCCCTTGACTCACCACAGACTGCCACAGCCTTGGAACAGCACAGCTTATCTAGGGATATGGCCCCTACAGAGACCCAGGCATTCAGAGGACTTGATCCCAGCCCTTTGTTACACCCAAGACAACTCTGGGGGCTTTTATTTCACCCAGAAAAGTATGAGAAGCCAATGCAAGTTTGTCCAAACTAGACATCATTTCATTGGGATATCAATCAGGCAACATTACACAGAGCAGCTACATATAGCAGAGGATAAACACACACACTCACTGCTGGGTGGCAAGGTCTCAGGGCCCTCAGAATCTGCCCTCATGTTTTAAGGAAAGTCCCAGGCTCCCACCCCTCTGCCTTGGTGTGGGGGAGTTTGATGTAGTTCAGGTTCTAATGTCTGTATTGTTCCCACCCATTTTTTCTGAGATAAGGATCTCTTGGCCAATTGAGTAGGGAGCAGGGAATCTGAGTCTTGGGGCCTGTGACCACTGTTTTTTACCTGTTAGCATTGAGTGTGATCAGTTGCCCTGTGCATCTCAACACCCATGAAACTGTCTCAAAATCTGCCATTTCTCCCATGCTTATGGTTGTGATTCAGACTGAACTGCTTCTGGGATCAAAGGATCTGGGTGGAGGAATGTAGTGACACATTCCTGCCTAGTGCAGGGAGACTGGACCGGATGATCTACAAGGTCCCTTCCAGTCCCTAACAATCTGAGAGCCAGAGTCCAGAGAAGAGCCACTCATGTAATCCAAGGCCTGGAGGGAAGGTCATATGAGGAGAGGCTGAGGGACTTGGGACTCTTCAGTCTGGAAAAGAAGGCTCAGAGGGGACTTGGTGGCAGCCTACCATTATATTAGAGGGGTGCATAAGGACCTGGGAGAACAGCTGTTCACCAGAGCTCCCCAAGGGATAACAAGGTCTAACGGCCATAAGCTCCAGGAAGGCCGATTTAGACTAGACATAAGAAAAAAGTTCTTTACAGTGCGAGTGTCCAGGATCTGGAACAAACTCGCCTCAGGTGGTACAAGCACCTACTCTGGACTCTTTCAAAAAACATGTGGCTGTATTTCTTGCTGGGGTCACTTGATCCCAGCTGACTTCCTGCCTATGGTGGGGGGGCTGGACTTGACGATCTCATGAGGTCCCTTCCAGCCCCTAATGTCTATAAAATCTATGACACACCGAGTACAGCAAACAGGGCTGTGGGGTGTTCAGGACACCCCAACACTGCATATGGCCAGTTCTGGGGCAGATCAGCTGAGGAATGGCCACACATAACACTGCATTGGGAAATCTTGTCTTGTGCTGGGTTGTAGCCAGACCTGCAACTTGGGAGTGGTTTCTTATCATGCCCAGTGGGTAAGGTTTGTCAGTGCCAAGTTGCAGCCAATTCTGCGGAAAGTCAGCTGGGGATGAGCTGCATATAACAGAGCAAAGGGAGGGCTTGCCTGGGGCTGAGATGCAGCTTCTTCTAGAGAAGGGCTGGGATGATGCTAGACAATGATGCCACAGGAAAGAAGGGACACCAAGGTGCAGGCACCTCTGGGGTGGGGCAGCTGGCGAGTGGCTGCCTATAATGCCAACCAGGAAGAGCTTACCCAGTGCTGAGATGCAGCTAGCTCACAGGTGGGTGGTTGGGGTGCAGCTGACACACACTGCATGGGGAGGGCTTGACTAGTGCAGAGATGCAGCCAGCTCTGGGGCGGAGCAGCCGGAGAACAGATAAATACAGTGTAAGGCTGCTAGGGAAGTCTTGCCCAGTGCTGAGATACAGCCAGGCCAGCTCTGGGGTGGAGTGGCTGAGAAAATGCAACAAAATGCCATATGGGGAGATCAAGCAGGGAGACTTGGAGCTGGCTAGACCCTGGGGGCTGTTTGGTGGGGACAGGGACAGAGAATACAGGGCTGTTTGGGTCTTGAGAGGCTGCTCCAGGGGCAGAGAAGGGGGGATATGGTTCTGTTCAGTTTTCTCTGGGTGATCCCTGGAATTTCAGGCCCCCGAATCCTGAAGCACTTGCAGAGAGACATGGACCGACAGGCAGGGTTTTCCCATAAAGGCTGCTTATGCCTTTGTGTAAGGCAGGGGCGGGCAATTATTTTGGGCGGAGGGCTGCTTACTGAGTTTTGGCAAGCCATCGAGGGCCACGTGACAGGCAGCCGAGGGCAGATTAATATTAATTTTCTAATTTTTTTAGGGGCCCTGTGAGCAGGACAGAATGGCCTGGCAGGTCGCATCTGGCCCCTAGGCCGCATTTTGCCCACCCCTGGTGTAAAGACTCAGCACTTCAACAGATGGGTGCAGCGTGGTGAGGTGGATGGATGCACAGCCGATCTCACAGGGTGTGGCTGGGATGGCATCGTGCGTGAGTGGGATTTAAAAAGATCTGCCACATACCTGGCCCATGATGTGTAGTGTATTGATGTCCAGAACAGCTGCAATGGATACACTGTGTGCTGTGGGGTGGGGGTGTGGGTGAGTAGGGCGGGAAATGTAGGGTGGAGTGTCTGGGGGCTGGGTGTGGGTGTGTGTGCAGTGGGATTGTGGGGTGCGTAGGGACAGGGGTATATATATGTGTAGGGCAGGGGCAGGCAAAATACAGCTTGTGGGTTGCATTTGGCCTGTGGGTGTGTACCCGCCAATTGATTGGATCTGGCCTGCAGCTGCCCCTGCAACACTGCATGGGGCTGAGCCTCACCCACTCCCACCTGGGGCATCCCATGCAGTGCTCCCTCCCACTCCTGACCCCAGCCATGCAGCTTCCTAGTGGGGTGGCTCCCAGTGCAACTACAGCAGCCCAGGTACTGCTCAGCTCCTTCTGCCTCCAGCAGCTCCTTCACCTTCTCCTCCTCCTCCTGCCCCTGCTTCACCACTGAGCAGCAGGTAGTGCAGGGAAGAACAGTAGCTATGGGGACCTTGCTGGGCACTGGACACCCAGTCAGGCAGGGAGGAAGCTACAGCTACAGCCAGGTGGCTCCTGCCCCCTGCACAGGGCTCCAGCTCCAGGCTGCCTTCTACCCACTCTGACCCCTCCCTTGCCCCCCAGCCCAGCTCCTGGGACCTAGTGCATGGGCAGCTCCCTCCTATCCCCGCCCACAAGCACCCTACACCCCACCCAAACACCCCTGCCCCACACCTTATACCCCACTCCCTCACGATATACAAGAGGACATACAAAAAACTAGAACTCTTGGTTCCAAAATGATACCTTTTATTAGACCAACTGGAAAATGGCAAGAAAATTGTCCTTTTCTGCAAGTTTTCGGGAGCAAAGTCCCTCCTAGTTCTAGTTTTTTGTATGTCTTTTTGTCTCAGACCAGCACCGCTACCAAGTACACCCATATACAAGAGGAGCACTTGATTTTGAGCTATTATGTAATCACCTCTATACACACCACTCAAAAAAACATCAATCCGGACAACAATTATTTTTAAAAATAAAATTACAGTATGTTCCAGTACAGTACTGTAGGGGGGTGTGTGTGTAGGTGTAGGGGGGTTGTCTGGGGGACTGGGTGCGGCTGAGGGGTGTGTGGGGGAGGTCTGTGGGTTTATGCGTGTGTCTGAGGGGGCGTATGCAGTGTGTGTAGGGGTGTGGGGTGCGCAAGTGTGTACAGGGATGCAGGGGTCGGGCCGCGCGTCCCAGTTGTCACTGCCGCCCCAGCCCCAGCCCGCAGCCTGGCGGACAGACTCCGCCCCGCGACTCGGGCTCGCGGGCGCCTCCGCACGGGGCAGGGGCGCTTTGCGGGCGCGGGCGGGTTGAGCCCAACCCCCCCGCCTGCCCCCAGCCCGGGGAGGAACGGGTTAATGCAGCCCGAGCGGGGAGGACGGAGCGGCCAGAGAGTTGCGGTCCTCCACGGTCACCAGAGCGGCACCAGAGCAGCGTCGCTGCGGCGCGCAGGTGACGTCAGGAAAGCGGTGGGCGGAGGCCATGGGGAGTAGCAGTGGCTGCCGCGAGGCTCCGGTAGCAGTGCCTGGGCCAGGCAGGGAAGGTTTGCATCGTGTAAACTAACTAAGGGGGGCGATGAATGTGAGTGTACGTGTAGTATAAACTTTATAGGAGGACCTTTATATGTCTGTATCTGTGTGCGTGTCACAGGCAAGTGCCTCACTTCATGAGAGGCTGTGAAAGGCTGTGCAGTTATAAGAAAGAGAGGGGAGGGGAATTTGAAGGCAAAAGATAAGGCAGGGTGTATGGAGAGAGGAGGGGGAAGGAGGGCAGTGCTGAAGAGCAGACAAAGAAGCAATAAACCCCTAGGAAAGTAGCCGGGGCCAGGGTGCAGGGGCTGTGCTGTTGAGTCCAAGATTATCGCTAGGCTGTCTCTGGGGGCTTTTATTTTATCCAGAGAAGGAGTAGAGAAGCCAGATCAAGTTCCTCCAAAGGAGACATGAGTTTGTTGGGGTGTGATCACTCAGGGAACAGGAGCCAGAGTAGCTACATGCAGCAGAGAACACACGGACACATTCTCAGGCCTTAAGGTCTGAGGCAAACTCCAGACTGCCACCCCTCTGCCTTGGTGTGTGGGAGTTTGGTACAGTTCAAGTTCAAATCTGTATTCCCACCCATTTCTCTGAGAGAACAATCTTGGCCAAGGGAGCAGGGAAACTGTGTCATGGCCTGTGACCATTGTTCTTTCCTAGGGTCCTTTTATTAGCACGGGGTGTGACCCCTGGCCTCTACATCTCAACTCCCTTGAAAATGTCCTTTACTGTCCCCTTCTCTCATATGCTAATCATGGTCCAGACTGCACTGCTTCTGGGATCAGAGGGCCTGGAAAGAGGAATGCAGTGATACACCCAGCACAGCAAACAGGGGTGAAGGGTGTTCAGGACTCCTCAACACCAGCTAGTTCCTTGATCCTAGAACATTCCCTCCAACTTAGGGCCAGGGCAGCCTCATGAACTGGCCATTTGCTAGGAGGAAGCAGCTGCATGATGTCTGGAGGGAAGACCTGTGTGGGAACAAGCCACAAGAAGGTGAAATGAATCCTAGTCCCAGTTCCCTTGTGCCAGAGTTTGACTAGGATAACAGACACATCCCTAGAGCTCATGCTGTCTGGATCTCCCTTCATGCTTACAGCTGTGACTTGTGACTAGGCAACCCAGACACCTTGATTCCAGGAACTGTAACATTGTGGTTTCTGTGCATGGAATTGGAATGCTGCACTTCCCTCTTTCTCCTCTTTTTAGGTTGATTCTCCATTGAGTCCAGCTTCCACCAACCCATCCCACATCTTTGAGGATCCATATTCCCCCTTCTTTCTGCTCTGCTCCTTCCCTTTACCTTCCACTCCTCTGCAGCGCAGCAGGGATGCTTGCAGTGGCACCGGATCAGGTAGGATATCAACACATCCCTCTCTGTCATGTGGGGGCATTAAATCTCCCCAGATTCTGGGCCTATTAGTGATCCACATCTCAAAGCCACTTGGGAAGCAAAGGGTAACTCATGATGCTGCCCTGCAAGGCTTTGGGGTTCCTTGTGGAGGTGTGTCCTAGAGAAGCATCAAATCCCAGGGTCAGCCTTCCCAGGCAGGGTGCAACTCCCTGTGAGTCACTGCCAGGAAAACAGCTTCCCTAGGGCAGACAAGCTGCCTGCATTACAGTCTCTGCTGGTGCAGTGATGATGTCAGCACTCCCCTCATTTAGATGCAGCTTGTGCCAACAGAGAAGTAGTTAGCCATGTTCATCTAAAGCTTTTCCTTATAAAACTTACACATCTTTAATTTGGTTAGTCCATAAGGTGCAATTGTACCCTCTCTTATGCCAATAGAGGGAATAACTGCACCACTCCCCGGATGACGTGAGCTGAAGCAGGCAAACACAGTGTCCTGCCAGCAGAGCTGTGTCTACACCAGGCCCTGTGTCCACACCTGGCCCTTTGTCGGAGCAGCTGGGTCAGCTGAGGGGTGAGAAGTTTCATATCATAGCCAGGCTGGCTAATGGTTGCAGTAGAGAATAAAGCTCAGAGTTGTGAAGGCCTTGTGGTTCCCTGGGAGGCATCTGGTGGAGAAGGATAAATTCCTGGGTCACTACTGTTATTTTAGTTAGGATGGCAATGCACCCTTTTGTAGGTACACCCTATGCTGTGTCCACACTGCAGGCTTTTATGGAGCACCTGTTTCAGCTGGAGGGTGGGAAGTTGCATCCATGCCCAGTGTAGCCAGGCTGACAAATCATTGTAGTGCAGCATAAGGCTCAGGACTGTGGGTGCTGGATGAGGCTGGAGCAGAAGGGACTGAGTGTATTGCTTGTGCCTGCAGCTCCAGGAGGCCTTTGAGGACGTGGCGCTGTACTTCACCCAGAAGGAGTGGGAGCTGCTGGGAGATGGAGACAAGGTGCTTTACTGGGACCAGATGCTGAGGAATTACCAAGCCCTTGTTTCTCTGGGTAAAGTTCTGTTTCTGTTACTCTCTGTGAGCTCAGAAATGTTTCCTTTGTCTCCTGGTTCTTCTACAGTCTTCTCATGAAGTTTGGGTCTCTGGTTTAAATCTGTTTTCTCCTCTGTTCTGCCATTGATCAGAGAGACATTGTTAGCTATGTTAGTCTGAAGTCAAGTAGATTTGCACCTTCTCTAGACTGGGGGTACTTGGCAAGGGCCCAGGAGGTATGCGGCATTGGCGTGGTGAAGAGGGGGCACTTCTGGTTTTGCTGCAGGGGGTCCCCCCCCCCAAACTCATTGATCAGCTGCTGGGGGACACCCCCTCCCCCACAGCTTGTCAACTGGCTGGGGGACTCCCTGCTCCTTGACTAGCCACCAGCCATACACCAACCAAAAAAGGTTGAAAACCCCTGTTCTAGACTAACCAAAGTAGGGAGGTAGATAGAGGCAAACCTCATTAATTCAAAACAGGACCAAAAATTACCAACTTTGAAATAAATGGGCTTGAAATAAATTTACCCATAGTAATTTACATATATCCAAATTACTGTACAGGCAGTCCTCAACTTACAACATTTCGACTTACAACATTTTGCACTTACAACATTTATAAATTGACACCCTGTTTCAACTTTCTGACATCAGTTTTGACTTTACATAGATTTCATAGACATTAGGGCTGGAAGGGACCTCGGAAGATCATCGAGTCCAGCCCCCTGCCCAAAGGGCAGGAAGTCAGCTGGGGTCACAGGGTCCCAGCAAGGTAAGCATCCAGTTTGCTCTTGAAGGTGTTCAATGTAGGCGCTTGAACCACCTCCGGTGGCAGGCTGTTCCAGAACTTGGGGGCTCGGACAGTAAAGAAATTCTTCCTTATGTCCAGCCTGAAACGGAGACCCTGGGGTAACCTCCCCTCCATACTGAGAATAAGTATATCGAGCCATG